ATCCCTGTGTTTTCATGGGTATTGTATAGACTGTACAGAGGCATCAGAGAAAGGAGGGAGGCAGGATTCCATGATAGAAGTCCAGGTAGGAGAGATGGTGCCTGTTGGGGGGAAGCTGTACTGGAATTAGGACAATTAGACAGTTAGAGCCAACAGATATTTTAAAAAATGTATTACAGAGTTTGAAACAGGAAGGAAGAAGGAAGGAAGGAAACAAGATAAGGATGTTTCCAAGGATGTGTGCTTGTTTCCAGAGAACTAGAAGAATGTTGTGCTTTATCAAGGTGGGAGGGAGCAGATTTCTCAAGGGCTATCAGAAGTCTGTTTCTGGACATGGAACCCCCGAGGCTGGGATGTCAAGCAGAGAACTGGTGATAAGAGTTCAGAGTTGGCTGGGAGATAGTGGCACAGGCCTTTAATCCCAACACTTGGGAAGCAGAGGCAGGCGGATCTCTATGAATTCAAGGGCAGCCTGGTCTGCAGAGTGAGTTCTCAGAGAGCCAGGCCTACACAGAGAAACCTTGTATCAAAAAAACGAAAACAAAACAGCAACAACAAAATATGGAGTTTGGAGTTCAGGAATCCAAGTGATAGAAAAGCCTCACCCAGTGGTAGAGTCCAAAGACCCAGTTGACACCAGAAGCTTCACTTAGCTCCTCAAGAGCCCTGGGGCATTCATGTTTTGAACTGAGGATCACCTAGACCATAGAACACTGCTATCCTTTCCCCAGATTCAATAAGCAATTCATTCAGCAGCAAACGTTTAAGGCACTGTGTAGGACACTGCCTATATCACGGACAATGACACTGTCCTGTAAACGTTTAGTGTTGTAGGAGATTAAGATGAAAACGTGGAGATTTCAGCACAGTGAGGAGGGAGCAATTCTAAGGATGATCTGAGCACAGGAGAGGCACCTCATCCTGTCTCAGAAGTCAGAGAAAGCTCCTCAGAGAACTTCTCCCCAAGTGCTCCTGCTTAGGGATAAGTAGGGAGAGCCGTGTAGATCAGCGAGTGTCAACAGGGTGTTTCAAGCAGATGATACAGCAGGAAGACAAAGGAAGACAGGCGTTCTGATGAGCAGCTGAGCGTGTCTGGGGTGCAGCGTGAATGGGGTGGATAGAAACAGAGACGGAGGCTGGAGCTTCACTAGGAGGGGTTCTGTGGGTAGCACTGGAACTGCATTTGAAAAGCCTCAGGCAGCCTCTGGGGAGCTTTATGTAGAGGGAAGAGGTTAAGGAAAGGGTAGATTGGAGAAACCAAGCCTGTATGCAGTAGCCTGAAGAGTCTGAGGAGGGTGACTGTCTTAGACTTGGAGTGCTCCAAATATGACCTAGATGTGTGTCTGTACAACATTAGGTAGGGAAGGGGACACGGGTCTGGGTCTGCTTTGCTTAATCTCAGCTGATGGGAGATGTTCTTCAAAGGGTTGGTTACTTTAAGGGAAAGGAGATGCCAGCAAATTCACAGAGAGCCAGGGTGTGGGAGAAAGGAAGACCGGCAGGCCAGAGACAGCCCTCAGGAAGGGCAAGCCCTTTAACATGGGGCAACAGGCAGGAGAACAGGACTGCAAACCCCCAAATGTCAGTCTTTCCAAGCACACTCTGTTTGGCATGCACGTGCATTTTGTGTATCCAGGGCCCGGCCCCAGCTTCTTAGGGACGGTGCTTCATGTTTGGTGTCTCTGTGTTTAGAATCAGGCATTTGTGAGGGGACGTTTTGAGTCGGGGATAAAGTGAAGAACTCTGGAATGTACACTGTACTTCCTGCAATAGAAAGGGATTTGCAGCTAACATATGCTGGGAGAAGACATATGTCCCTGAACAGCCTGTGGTTCCAAGAAGAGATTTCAACCAGAAGAAATGATGGGCCCTGTTCATATTCAGAGTATGGGCTTGCTTTGCTCACAGTGGGAGGTGTGGGGGGGTATATGTTTTGTCAACTGAGTGAGCATTTCAGTTTTATCAAAACTCAGTCATTTTAGGAAGCATATGTTTGGTTAAATATTTATATGAGGTAGTTTAAGAAAAATAAATTCATCTGGGTTGGTGGTGGCATATGCCTTTAATCCCAGCACTTGTGGGGAAGGGGCAGTCTCATATCTGGGTTCTAGGCAAGCCTGGTCTACAGGACAGCCAGGGCTACATGGAGAAACCTTGCCTTGAAAAAAAAAATTAATTAATAAAAAAATAAAGACAAATAAATTCAGGCAGCAGATTTGGGTCAATGGTAGAATGCTTGCCCATTGGGCACAAGGCCCTGGGTTAACTCTCCAGTACTGTAGAAAATAAATTAGTAATAAATACATAGCCAGTAATGGTAGTACATACTTGTAATCCCAGCCCTCATGATGCAGAGGCAGGTAGATTTCTGTGAGTTCAAGGTCAGGGGTGGGACTATACAGAGAGACACTTTCTCTAAAATAAATTAAAAAAAAGCAAAAACAAACAAACAAACAAAAAAACAAAAGGCATGGTGACACACGTCTTTAATCCCAGGATTTGGGAGGTAGAGGCAGGTGGATCTCTTGTGAGTGTGAGGCCAGCCTGGTCTACAGAGCAAGTCCAGGACAGCCAGGGCTCTTACACAAAGAAATCCTGCCTCAAAACAAAACAAAACAAAAAATTAAATTAAAAAGACAAATAGATACATAAAATTATAAAAAAAGAAAAATAGGGAGGAGACACTTGGAAAATATAGATGAGTTGGCAGTGTGTGTGAAGCCCTGGATTTGGTCTTCAATGCAACATAAATGGGTATATCCATGCATACCTGTGACCTCTGCCCTTGGGAAGTAGAAGAACCCTTAGCTATCTAAGGAGTTCAATGTAGTAGGCCTGGGCTAATGACCCTCTCTCAGAAAAACAGAGTAAAGCCAAAGCCAGACACTCTCACCCTTTTATGAAGGCTATAGCAGCCTAAATCTCGTGGTGCTGCTCATATTCCAGCTGGAGACCTACTTTGTATATGAAACTTGCATCTAGCTCAACAAGTATTTCTGGAGCCCTGGTTTTTCCTAGGAAGACTCATCTCCTTTTCCTCTCAGACACCCTCGTCTCTGGGTTGCAGTTAACACGGGCAACTTTAAGTTGATCAAGAAAGACAGGAGAGGGGTGAGTACACAGACATATTTGAGGAAACTGGAAACAAGCACAGAAAACCATGCACGGACTGTAAATGTTGCTTTAATAATAAAATATACCATTCCAATCTACACTTTCATGTTACGGGAAGGCCTTGTGTGTTAGGTGAAGTCATTGTTGAGATTCCCTACGATGATGCTTTGTTCTTAATTCAGAAGAGCACTCTTTCTTGAGGTTGAGAATCAGAAGGGAGACACAGTCTTGGGTGAATTAGACTCCCGGTAGGATTGTCCAAGAGCAGGTACTGCAGGCATTTTAGACTAGTTAATTCATATATATGTGGCCGCCTTGTTCGCAGTGGGATATTGGTGGCATCCTTGACCTTCAGCAGCTTAGATGCCAGTGGGGGAACTCCTCCACAATACCAATAAAAATGTCTCCAGATATTATGTAGTGTTTGTGGGGACAAAAATCACTAATTGTGACTATCTTCTTTAGGAATTTTTATTTCAGTTGGATAACTTTATTTCAACAAATAGTTGGAGGCAGGGGAAAGGGCATACTATTTAAAAAAATATTTATTGTGTATATGCAGGACAGAGGATAACTTATTGGAGTTGCTTCTCTCCTGCCACCTTGTACATGCTGGGGCTCTAACTCAGGACATCAGGTTTGACCACAAGCACTGTTACCCATCTCCATAGTCCCCATGACCTATTATTTCTTATTTGCTGTGAGCTAGTCACTATCTCTAGCTACTCTGTTTTATCTTATATATCAAGAAGCTGATGTTCAGTGTTGAACCCGCTGAAGATGCCAATGCTAGTTCAGGCGCTTAAAACAGGCTCACACGTGACCCCTCCAACTTTACCAACTGACTCCTAGAAACACAGCAAGTCCCAAATTGGAGGTGAACTGCAACTTCAAAATATTTTTATAACTTTCTTTTTTGAGAAAGGAGCCGACTGTCACTCCTTTACCCATTAAATTTGACCGTAAGCACACACTCAGACATTCGCGCACACCCCTCTCCACCGGCCTTGGCCTTATCTAGGAAAAACACAGGACTACACAATGGAACAGCTTCGATTCTCCCTGTTACAAATTATCCAAAAGCCAGAGCCTAACGGTGCCAAAAAGCAACCGGTATTGTTTACACAAGGGCTGAAGGCTAATAGTTAACTTTCTCCCATTTAATTCCAGAAACAGTAAACATCGCCTCGCGTTACAACTACAAGCGAATAAATGTCATAAAACGGGGAAAGAAAACTCCTGGTCCAAAGCAAAATGGAAAGGTTGGGTTTTTCAAGCGCTTCCGCCCTTGCGCGCCGCCCCCGGCTACTCGGCCTCGGGTCCCTGTCGCCCTCGCCAAGCTCCTGTCCCTGGCGCCCAGAGCTTCTGGCTTCCTTTCCCGCCCTGGGGCGCACTGGAAAAACAACAGCCAGAAACTTTGGCTGGGTTTGCAGTTCAGTTGGTGGGGGGTGGGGGGGGAAGCAAAAAAAAAAAAAAAAGGGGTGGGGGGGGGGTGGCGAACCAGATACTCTAGTTCGGTTCCGGACAGAGCTGAAGGCTCCGATTTAGGGGTGGGGTCTGGGGGAGGGGGGGTCACAACTCGGTCAGGTTCAAGTGCGCATGTGTGAGAGGAGTCGCTCCAACACTTATTGAGCGCCCACTGTGTGCAGCCAGCCAGGGTGTGCGGGGCGCGCGCGCGCGGCGGGGGCTGGGTGCGCGCGGGCCGTGCGCGCGCGTGGCCGGGGGTGTGTCTCCGCGTCTGGCTGGCTGGCTGGCTCGCGGGCGGACTGGCTGCGAGCGGCTCGGCGCGCTCCCTTCCCGGGCGGGGGAATCCGGGCCGGGTTGTGGCCGCGGCCGCGTACGTGAGCGCAGTGTCCCGGAGAGGGAGGGCAGGCCGGCCAGGTGGGCGCGAAGGCGGTGGCGGCGGCGGCGGCGGCGGCGGGAGGCGGCGCAGTGCAGGGGCCGCGCCGGTGGCGGGCAGGGCCGCGGCCGCTGCGGGGAGCCGAGCTGACCGGGCCAGTGGCTGGCGGAGGTGAGCTGCGCGCGGGATCTTGCAGCGGCTGCAGCCCGGGATTGGGGCCGGCAGCCGGGGGTCGGTGTGGGGGGGACCCGGGAGGCTCGCGCGGCCCGGGCGGGACTGGTGCTGCGGCGGCGGTGCCGGGGTGGCTGGGTTGGGGGTGGCCGCTCGCCCTCTCACGCGTAGCCTTGTTTATGTCACGGGTCCTACGGCCGGATCTCCCTCCCAACTTTGAGCGGTGGCTGGGAGTGGCCTCGCGGGGCCACACTGACCTGTTAACCTGCCCCCCTTTCCGGCTGGGCCGTCAGCCTTGAGCTCTGCGCGCCCCTGCCCTCTCCAGATCCAAAGAGCGCGGTGCTGCGGGACTGGCCTCGCGACACACCCTCTCTCAACCCCTTTCTTGTGGCCCCCTTCGCTGCGCCCTTGGCCCTCTGCCTGCCGGGCTTACCCCGGGTCCCTCCTTGTCCGTGGCACTGAGGGCCTCTGGAGTGGCCGATGGGGGCCTCGAAAGGGAGTTTGTCATGGGCAAACAATTCTGAGGCAGTGTTTCCTTCTTGCCTGGGAGTTAAGCTCTGCGCCTTCACTTTGGGGCCCACTTGGAGGTCTAAAGAGACCCACCTGCCAGCAATCCTGCGCGAGCCCTGTTTTCCATCCCTCCCTTTCCTGTGGTTCTGGAGGACTTCCACCAGACATGGGTTCCCATGATGCCAGGCAATGGCACAGGGGCTATCTATAGTTCCTTCACTGCTTTCTTTATTCTCCCTTAACAGAAAGGTGTAAAGTGGGGCAGTTTGTTTCAAAGCTAGCGCTCAACAGGTATTGTAGCCTGGGGACATCCTCCTAAGGGGCTGTGTAAACAGAGGTTCTTCTTTGGAAGAAGAAGAACACAAGGAAATTGGTTAACCCACAGGTACCTCCGAGAAGCCACTCAGTTCTCTTCCCACTGCCAAGCTTTCTGGATGATGTTTAACTACACGTAAAATGTCCAAGGTCTCAGAAATCTCTCTACAAGACTGGAAAGAGACGCTCTGAGAGCTCAAGTTTAAATTAACGTGCTATGGCTGCTAAGTTAACCGAATGGTTGGGGCGCAGGCGGCATGGCAGTTAAAGATGGAGAAGGCCACTCAGCACTCATTTTGAAATAATTTCCACCTGTGGACAATTCCCTGGCAAGACTCAAATTCAGAAGGAAGACTTCACAGGTGACATCCTTGCAAACGGAGTCCAGGGGCTTGGTTGTCTCTGAGAGAGAGGCTGCAGAAACATAGATATTTCCCTCCAGGGCTTATAATCTTCTGGAGGACACAGAAATACTTGAGCATGTGAAATAAGACTCCAGATGGGACACAGTTAGTTGTCAAAATGCCAGGTGCAGAAATGGGTGCTGTTGGAGGTCACAGGGAAGGAGCTACAGATTACCAGGCCTGGGTTGTCACATCTTGTCCTTGCAAGATGAGACTCTGAAGATGGGACCCAAAGCGGGAATGAATATGGGTTTCTCTAGAGACCAGGAGATGGCCTTGGCCCTCTTGGAATGTTTCCTGAACAGTAAGAGATAAAGATAGAGAGGAACAGTGACTGAGATTGTGAAAGTCCTAGAAAGTCAGACTGAGGAATCAGACTTTTTATCCCGGGTGTACTAAGGAGACATTAGGCCAGGGAGTGATGTAACAAGGGTATTTGTAAAGGATTTTGAATCTGATGTCAGGAGACAGAGCAGTGAGTAGCCTGTTGCACTTTCAGAGTGCTGTGGGTTTGGACTTGGTTTTATTGGAAGACATTACTGTTGAAATAATCTGTTGACAGGGGCAGGGTGAAGGGAAGATGAAGATAGGGATTCCTGGTGGAAGCTGAACACATACCAGGGTCTCAGAGCTGCTGTAGTTGGTGATCAGAATCAGAAACTTGTGTTCTGTAGAGAAGGTAATTGACACTTGGGCTCTAGAGAAGTCTCTTGTGTTTGCCAGGTTATTCAGGTGGATGTAGGTGCTAGCGAGTGTGGTTCTGATAGGTGGGAACTCTGGAGGGTAGTATAGGTGACTCAGGGAGCATGCTGGGAGTTGTCTTGGTCATAGGGGCAGCAGAGAAGTCACTTGGACCCTGGTCTGAGCCACAGGGCCTCTGCTTTGCTTTCACACACACTGCCTGGGTTTGACGGTGAAGGTGAAGGAGCAGCGCTGGGGAGTGGGCTTTTAGGAAAGTGAGACATTTATTTTAACCATTCGGGTGGGGTTGGAGGTTGGAGAGAAGTGGAGTGGGCTTTGCTAAAGAAGTAAGTTATCAGGCTTTGCTGCATGCTGAACTTTACTCTTTACAGAGATATTAAGTCTCCTGGGCTGTTTGTGCAGTGGGGAGGGACGATCAGCAGCCTAAAGGAAGGTGGAGGAATTTGGGGCCTTTTGTAAGGCCTGGCTTAACCCAGTCCCAACCAGTTACCCCTTCCCAGGATTCTGGTGACAGGAATAAGCAGGAGGGAGCTGACGCTTATTTTTTTCTTTTTCTTTTTTTCCCCTAAGCTCTGAATTCTGCTTGCTTTTTGTAAGAACGACTTAGGGTGATTTGCTGAACAAATTCCCCAAGCCTCAGCTTGCAACATCTGAATTTGAAGGATGATTGCAAAAAGTTGTAGAGTGAGTTGGGGTTGTTATTTCAGTTGCTTATTTCTCTGAGATGCAGAATCAGTGAACTGAGGGAAGGGGGCCTTGAGGGCTAGTGACTGGAGGCCATACGGATCATATTCATTCTTACCTTCTCTTTTCCTTCTGTCCTCTGGTCTCTTTGCTTCTTTTCCTTCCTCTTCTTTCTCCACTCACTTCTTTTTCTCTTCCCTCCCCATTCTTTTCTCTTTCCTCTTTTTTCTTCCCTTCCCTTCCTCCTCTCTCTCTCTCTCTCTCTTCCTGTTCTTTGTTCTTTCCCTCCCTCCATCCTTCTCTCCAGCCCTTTTCACTCTGTGACCCATGGGCCTTGAATTGACAGCAGTCTTCCTGCCTTGGCAGGCCTCTGAACTATTACAGGTTTTTTTTCCCCCTTCAGAGCGACTATCAAAATGATAATCGTGCAGAGCTGACACAGGGTTTGAATGCACTTGTGACCATGACCTACAGTAAGAAAGTTGAGGGCTGACAAGATGGCTCAGTGGGTAAGGTTGCTTGCCGTTGAGCCTATTGGCCTGACTCTGATCCCCCGAATTCACACGGTAGAAGAAGAGAACCAACTCCTGAAAGTGCAGGCAAGCACTCATGTGCGCACTCGCGCGCACACACACACACACCCGTTACACTCACACACTCTCTAAATGTAAAATAATGAAAGGAAATTTATGTCGTGACTTTATGTACCTAATCATGTATGTGAAAATCGGATTTTAGTTTGTGAAGTCCTACCTCTTTTCTTGATGCAACTTTTTTTTTAAATTGTCTCTTCTGTTACATTTCACAAAAAAAAAAAAAAAAAAAAAGCTATTGTTTTTCAACAAGTGGATCCAACCACTCTCTAGTGGATCATAATTTACTCACAGTTTGAAATGCACTGGGAGACTTTTCACATTCCTCAAGTATTTATGAAGTTGTCTGTGTGCAGAGCGGCACCTCCCAAGGCTGGAGGTAGCTGCAAGCCCAACAGAGAGGTGGGTGTTTATGGTCCAGTTAGAGAGATAAGATAGACGTTGGAGATCGGGCAAGGCAGAGTGTTAAATGCCAAGATGAAAAGTCAGTGCTTGAAAGTGCTGGAGAAGGTGTTTGTTTGTTTGTTTGTTTTTGAGACAGATAAACCTCTGGATTTTTGGGGGGGCTTTGAAGAGTCAAATATGGCCGCCTCCTCCAGATGAGGGATGGCTGTCTTATGAGTACAAAATATGATGTAATAGTTCCCAGTTGTCAGACATAGTGTCAGTGTTCCCTGGTGCTTTGAAGCAGTCACTTGAAGCAGTTGTTTGCAGAGTACTGTAGGACATTTGGCTTTGGGACCTCTGGTGTCAAGACTGTGAATGCCAAGGCAGGCAGCCTGGGATCTATGTCATGGGCTCTGACTGGCCATGAGAAGACTGTAAGAACATAACATGGAATCTGGGATATTTGTGTGCAGTGGATTCATGTTATGCAAATCAGAGGCTGATCCTGAGGAAGTTGGAGCCGGGAAGTATTTTTACATGATCAGTATTATTGTGTTTTGCATGCATACATGTGTGTAGTGCTCATGAGAGGGGAAAATGTCAGATCTCCTAGAATGGAGTAGGACTGTGAGTCTCTGTGTGGCTCCTGGGGCTAGAACCTGGGTCCTCTCCAGCCCTAAAATGGTATTCTTTTGCTTTTCTTTCCTTTTCTTTTCTTTTCTTTTTCTTTCTTTCTTTCTTCTTTCTTCTTCTTCTTCTTCTTTTTTTTTTTTTTTTGAGACAGGGTTTTTCAGTATAGTCCTGACTGACCTAAAATTCCCTCTGTAGACCAGATTGGCCTTTAACTCACAGACCTCTGTCTGTCTCTGCCTCCCAAATGCTAGGACTAGGACTAAAGGTGTGTGTTACTGCCACTCGACCAGAACAGTACTCTTTAGAGCAAACTTCCAGTGGATAAATTCTGATGGGACTTGTTTCTAGGGATGCCAGGGTCTCTCCAGCATCTTCACTGTGGGTTTCTGGCTCTCATGCGTAGATGGTGACTTCGGGTACGTCATCCAAGGATGATGATAACTTGGTGAGATATGAATCATGACTGTCAAATGCCACAAGACACTGTCTTCTCAGGACCTGTGTCTCTGTGAGGTAGTACCAGGAGTGAGAAGGGACAAGCCTTCTCTCTCTGGTTTCTTTACCCCCAGGATGGCTCCAGGATGCAGGGAGGCTACAGAACAGCTGCCTCAGGTCTAGGTGGTAAGGGGTAATGGGGATGACTTCAGAAAAACTAGTCTGGTTTGGTGGCCAGCTGAAGTGAATAAATTCAGGTTTGTAGTCTAGAACTTTCTAGTGTATGCTGAAGAAGCCATAGTCACCTGTGACTCAGAGGCATTCCCACATGAGGGGC